ATTCTCTTGTTGTGCCGGGATCCTTGTATCATGAAACTGGCGCAAATCCTCCATAGAAACGTTTGTACGAGTTCCGTCCAACTTCTGTTCCAGAGCAGTGTGGATCCCCTCTTCTCTCACCTGCGAGGAGTTGTAGGATGAGTCTGAGGTCGATTCTTGTGTGGTTGTATGTATATCATGCATATTCATCCTTGTAGTAGGATCCGGTGGCCTAAATCGATCATTTGTTGGCGCACCAGCCATACTACTGCCTTTGAAATCGTGAATCAATTTGCCGAGATAGCTAATTTCCTTGAAGAATTCTAGAGAGAGAAATTTTAGGTATGGGTTTCTTAAAAAAGTAGGATTGCATTAGAAAGCAGTCTTGTGTGCGCATATTGGTCCTCATAGTGACATAATAGCAACGACATGCATAATTGTTCAAGAAGTAAACACCTCCACCATCAATTCTCATACTATAGACTAGAAGTTAGGTCAACTTACCAATTCTCCAAGCCATGATCACCATGGATCAATCCTCAACAATTCATAATCAATTGACATAGATACCAATAGGAATAAACAGTGTAATTCACTAACATAAACATAATCTAAGTACAATTCTATAAACAAAGGGATCAACCCATAACTTTGCCCATAAGGCCATAATTTTCAACTCATCAATATACCAACAATTCAATATGAATAAGTATAGATAATCATAGGAAACATCAATACAATCTAATCTAAACATAATTTCACCAATAGAGATCATATTCACAAAGACCCACATCATAGGTCAATTTTCGAGAATTTGGGGATCATGGGTTCTTCAAGAATCCCCTTGAAAATTGTCATTGAAAACCTTAATTCCACATTAATTCATCAATAGAATGATTTAGAAAATCGTTTGACAAAGGACCCATGTTTAGATTGAAAATTGTGAATTTTGGTCTTTGAATCACTTTTGAAAATCTTTGATAGAACTCCTTGAATGAGAGGTTATTCAAGAATCAAGAGTTACCATATCTTAATTATTGAAGACCCATGAAATTTAGGAAGAAATCAATTGAAAACCCATCTTCTAGCTTGAACTTCATCAAGGTCTTCAATGGAGTTTTTGAGAGAATCTACTTTTGAGAGGGAAGGGTCAATTTGAAGAATGGGGTCTAATTCTAGGTTTTGGGGTTTTAACCAACTTAAAATACCCTAAAATAGGTAGAATAACCATTTATAATAATTCCCCAAAGTACCCAAACTACCACTCACTTAGTTGGACCTTTTAAACAAGTCAAACTTGAGTTTTATTTTCGAAGATTTCATCGGGCAACAAGTTCGCGACGCGGAGGTGTCCCCACAAGTTTCTGGAAATTAAATTTCGAGGCAGTAGAGTCCGGGACATGTCCGCAACGCAGACCAAACATTTTGGCCCTTGGTGGAGCAGGTCCGCGACGCGGAGCCACTCCCTCCATGCACAACTTCAAGTTGACTTGGCAGCTTGTTTGGCCAAGGGTTGGGGTCCTCCTCGGGGACCCTTAGGGTGGTCCCGGGGAGTCGTACCCGAACTTTTTGACCCTAAAAACATTTATTAAGACACTAGGGTCACCTCCACTGATTTTAGACACCAAACACCACATAAAAACATGAACAACATACTAGAACACACCAACACGTAAAACACTAGTTTCCAAACGTCTTGGTCGTCCCTTGACGTTTGACTTCCAAACTCTTTAAAACTGACTAAAAAGGTTATTCTTCATTATTTTAACAAGTTATTAATGCATAAAACCAATGTGAGGCTCTACTTTATCCTACTTCATTTTGAGGGTTGTTACATCTACGATTGTCGATAGTATAGTAACCCAACTAATGGTTGGGGTCGTGTCCCAAGGGAGTGGTTTGCAGAATTGATAGAAAAATAAAATTAAGCTCTAACTAGTCGTAGCTAAATACATTAACGAACAAAAACAAGGTAAATAAAGGGGGTGACACAAAAGTGTCAAATATCGATTTTGGGGTTTTGTTACAAGTAGTGAAAGCAGTAAAAATTAACAAGAGAATCAAGTATGGGGAAATGTTCTTGGGGTGTGACCCCAATACAAGTTGAGATAAATAATTGGGTATATGGTTTTGACAAGAAATTTGTAAGATAATAGTTACTAGGCTAAGCTTTAAATGTAAATAAGTTCCCTCTCGGGGAACTTACCCCATTTCAAATGCGTTCCTCTCGGACACCCATTTGCCGCATGAAGACAAGTATACGCCTTACGTCACTTACTCTCTCGAGTTGAGTGTTAGGATATGGGACTAGGGCTCACCCTCTCGAGCTGAACCTCATGTCGACCCAATCCTTAGGCCATCAGTCTAGTGGTCTTGGTTTCGCAACCTCCCTATCGGGCAAGCCGAAAACACATGAGTGGCTTTGTATTTGCAACTACAAACCCTTTAGATTAAACCACAACCACTAGGTGAAATCACCATTAAAATACGTCTAACCTATCAGCAAGCAAGACCCAACAATAATATCAACACATTTTTGCTAAATCACACCCCAAGAATGGGGGTTTTTAGCCACACATCAAGAAATAGCAAAATACACCTAAAATGATAGTAAAATCAAATGGGTATAAGAAATTAAACCTTAATTTAGGCAAAGGAAGAAGAATAGAGAAAACCCACTTCTAACTTGGGGAAGATGAACTCCTTTCTTCAAGTTCCCAAAAACCCTCTCCAAACTTGAGAGAAAATATCTAAAAAGTACTATTCTATTCTGGAAATTAAAATTAAAATTTGACTCTTAAAAATAATAATAAGTTCAATATTTATAGACTTCAAAAAATAGCGCTGGCGGATCTTTCGGCGAAGTTAGTCGATGTCGCCGAATAATTTCGGCGACTCACCCTTCGTCTGTCTCGTCTCCATTTCATGCTTGCCTTCAGCACCTTCACGGTCTGGACCATTGGGTGGTATAGTACTGCTTCACGGAACTATTCGGCGAAGCATCGACTGCTCCTTTCATCGCCTTTTTGATCCTTCTCTTTCAGGGCTTCGCGTACTGTTACAAAGTGCGGAGTAAATCCATTCAGTGAATCACCAAGTGTGCTTCGCGATGCTCGGGTTTTAGCTTCGTTGTTCTTTCTAGCCTTTTTGTTCCTGCGCCTAAGTGTCCATGCTTTCACTAAAACTTCAAATACCTGAAACTTAAGAGTTTTCATCAGATATTTAGACAAAATAAGCATTCGAGGACATTATTCTTATCAAAATAAAGCCCTAAATGAGTCCAATTTGTGGACTCATCAGTCCTTAAGGCTGAAAGGAAGGAAATCTATGTTGAATGTCAGACAAATACTCACAAGAAGCTTGAGAAGAATCAATAGCAATCCACTTCACAAGCACTTGAACCATAACCTTGTTGCCTCTTTTCACAAGACTCATGTCTAACACAACTTCATGCCTAGGACAATATGAACTAGACAAGTGAAACACGGATCGATGATTGATGACATATGGGACCTCATGACATTTCTTCAACTAGGAGATGTGAAATGTATGATGAATTAGGACATCAGTTAGCAAAAACAATTTATAGGCAACAACTCCAACTTTAGCAGCAATAGGATAGGCGCCAAACTACTTGGCAGCCAATTTGTTAAACGGTCTAACGCCAACTGAAACTTGCCTATAAGGTTGCAACTTAAGGTAAACCCAATCTCCTACCTCAAAACATATGTTAGGCCTATGTCGATCAACCAAGTCTTTCATTCTTTGTTGGGCTCTTTGAATATTAAACTTCAAAAGATGAATGATTGCCTCTCTAGAAGCCAATGATCTATCTACCATGTAAAATGAAGACTCACCTGCTAAGTAAGGAAGGTGAATGGGGGGGGTTTCTGACCATATAAAACTTCATACGGAGTACATTTGATAGCAGTGTAATAAGTAGTATTATACCACCACTCTTCAGGGTTATCAAAATAGAAACATCTCAGATAAGTTTCCAATGTCCTATTCAAAACCTCTGTTTGTCCATCTGTTTGAGGATGATAAGAAGTATGCCTCTGTAACTAAACCCCTTGTGTTGTAAACAATTCTTGCCAGAATTTACTAAGGAACACATGATCTCTATCAGTTGTCAATGTAGCTGGCAAGGCAAGAAGTTTTAAAACATTGTCAAAGAAGCACTATGCTACAAACTGAGCAGTATATGGATGTTGTAGGCTCATGAAATGACCATATTTTCTCAACCTATCAACCACCAACAAGATAACATTCTTGCCATTAGACTTAGGTAAGCCCTAAATGAAGTCTAAACATACATCACTCCATACTCGATCTGGAATAGACAAAGGCTACAGTAAGCCTGGATAGGCAGAAACATCATATATGTGCCTCTAACAGACATCACATTTGTTGATGAAGTCCCTCACATCTTGACTTATAGACTTCTAATAAAATAGAGATTGTATCCTCTTAATGGTAGAATCGATGCCAGAATGTCCACTCTGTGTAGTAGAATGCCACAATAAAATAATTGTCTTTCTCAAGTGGGAATTAGCTCCAACTACCAATCTACCCTTCCACTTAAGTTGAGCATACACCAAGTAAAGACTTAAAATGTTGAACATGTAGTTTAGTAATCAGAGTCTTCAAAGATGCATTAGTTAACCAAGTTCTCTTGATCTGCTCATATAGAGAATCATTAGGTGTCAATAAAGAGATAACTAATAACTCAACATCAAGCTTCCTAGATAAGGCATCATCAACTTTGTTGTGTGTACCCTTCTTATATTTATTTGAGAAGTCAAAAGCCATTAGTTTGGAAATACCAGCAACCTGAAAGTCAGTGTGGTGGTTTTGTTCCAATAAGTGCTTCAAAGGTTTTTGATCAGTTTTGACAATGAAGGGCCTTCCTATCAAATAATGGGACCATTTAGTGACAAAAAATATAATATCTATTTGTTTCCTATCATATGTTGTCTAGGAGCCAGTGACTTGCTAATATAGGTTATAAGGTGGCCTTGCTACATTAGCACAACACCAATTCCCTTCCCACTTGCATTAGTTTCCACCACAAAAGGTTTAGAGTAATCAGGCATAGCTAATACTGGGGCAGAGATCAAGGCTTGCTTTAGTTCCTCAAATGTTGTTGTAGCATGCTCAATCCATGTATATCCATCTTTCTTGAGTAACTCAAGCAATGGCTTACAAATGGATCCAAATCCTTGTATAAACATTCTGTAGTATCCATTAAGTCCCAAGAAACCCCTCAACTGCTTGATATTGCTAGGAATAGGCCATTGTGCTACTGCTACAATCTTCTTTGGGGTCTGTAGACACCGTCTCCCACTAATGAAATGGCCTAGACATTCCACTTTAGGCACTCCAAAGGCACATTTGGACATTTTTGCATATAGTTGGAATCTCTGCATTAGGTCAAAGACTGCCCTCATATGTTCAATATGATCGACCATACTTTTACTGTAAATAAGTATGTCATCAAAAAAGACTAAAACTATTTTTCTCAGTAGTGGCTTAAAAACTGAATTCATAAGACTTTGGAAGGACGATGGAGCATTAGTTAAGCCGAAAGGCATTACTTAAAATTCATAGTATCCTTCGTGAGTTTTAAAGGAAGTTTTCTGAATGTCATTTTCGTACATTCTCAGTTGGTGGTATCCAGCTCTAAGGTTAATCTTTGAAAATACCATGGAACCTCCTAACATGTCCAAGAGGTCCTTTATAAAGGGTATGGGAAACTTGTTTTTAACGGTCAAGTTATTCAACTCCTTGTAATCTACACAAAGCCTCCAACTACCATCCTTTTTGCCAACCAAGACAACTAGTGAAGCATAAGTACTAGTACAATGTTGTATGACCCCCTTATCTATCATTTCCTATACAAGTTTCTCTATGATATCCTTTTTGACCCCTGGGTACTTATAAGATCTTTTGTTGACTGGGTTGGTAGACTCAACCAATGGTATGCGATGATCAAAAGACCTTCTATGAGGTGGTAGTGAAGTAGGAATCTCAAATATGCTGGCATATTGGTCAATTAACAAGGATAATACTGGATGAACTAAGTTACCTTGGTCAACATAAATGTTGTAACACTGCAACCTATCCTATAAATCAAATAATAATGATATCATGAAGAATTGAGTCTCATCAACCTCAACCTTATTTATTGATTTGGCCCTTGCTGACTTCAGCTGACTACTAGCTCCTCTTAAGACATGTTTTTTACCTTGATACCTAAATTCAATGTAACTATTCTGAAAATCAAACAAGATTCTACCCAAGGTATTCAACCATTGTACCCTAGGATAATGTCCACATTACCCGATGGTAGCAACAAGAAATCAGAGGTAACTGTAGTACCCTGCAAAAGCCATGTTAGATTTTTGCACACTGAACCTATTTGCACCTTCCTGCCATCAACAACACTAATTGACCATCAACAACACTAATTGACTGGGCCATAATAGTAGTGGACTGACATCCTAACCTCTTGGGTACTTCTTGATCAATGAAATTATGTGTGCTCCCTTTATCAATTAAAACCTGCAAGGGTTTCTTTTCATGATAGCCAGTCACTCTAATAGTCTGATAACCTATCACTCCTATGAAAGCTTGCAAGGATATGGTCATGCATTCATTAATTTCCTCATTGTCTTCCTGTATTTGGTCCTGCACTACCTCTTCTTGAACCAACTCCTCATCTTCTCTTTCCACTAGAAAAAAATGTTTATTTGACCTACACTTGTGACCAACCACATAATTATCATCACAGAAAAAAAAAGGCCTTTAGCCCTTTTATCATCCATCTCAACAACAGTCAACCTCCTTCCCAACCCATTACCAGTGAATCTGTTAGGTTTAGAAACCTGTGAATCAACTGGTTTCTTATATGCGGGATTTGGTGTAAATGGTTTTTGAGAGAAATATGGTTTAACATGAGTACGAGTAGGTAGAATTGGTCCCTGTACTTGTCTGACCATAGGTTTCAAACCCCATGTCTTAGCTTGTGCATCAAAAACATCTTCTTGTAACCTAGCATGTTTATAGACATGTAGTAGTGTTCTTGGTGACTACATCCTGATAGATTTGTTTAGTTCTAGCTTTAGCCTACCCAAAAAATAGCTAATATTATTCACATTTGACAAATTCACTCCCGTTAATAATCTGTCAAACTCAGTTTGGTATTCCTTCACACTACCTATTTGAGTCAGATTCTTCAAAGCCTCCATAGAATCCTCAACCTCTTCCCTAAATCTTTCATTCAAAGCCAAGATATACTCTTTCCATGAAGGATTAGCTACACAACTTCTAGACCTCATATACAACCTATGCCAAGCAATTGCCTTCCCTTCTAGGTTTATTGAAGCTACCCGTACCCTCTGGTCGAATGCAACCTCTTCCATAGCAAAGAATTGGTCCACCTTATACAACCACGTTCTTAAATCTTGACAAAAACATCTAGTGAATTCTAACCTAGAAAATCGAGTGAAGAGATTACCAGAATTGCTGTGATATTTCTTGTGTCTGATTTCATATTGTGATTCAACTGAACAGGCCCTATGCATTGAAGATTCTGCTCTTCCCAGTTCCTTTTCTTTGCCCTTAATTCCCAGTCGGCCAATGGTTTCCTTGATCTCATACAATTCCTTTTCTTTTTGTGAATTCTTATCGTTCATGCTAGTCATCCCTTCCATCAGTTTCTTCAACTGATCTTGAATCTGACCTAATCAATCATCCATCTCTTCTACTGATTTATCTTGATTCTTACTTCTAGTCACCGTCATGCCAAAGATCGCTAGCTATGATACCAATTGATGCACAATGGTATCAATTAAGCATCAATTAAGAAGAAAAATTCTAGGAGCTTTGAACTCAAAAAACTGAGATACTAATTCAGAGCTTGCAACTGATATATTAGAAAAGAGAATTTTAGAAGAAGGAGAAATGTATTATCATTCAACGGTTTCAACTGCAATCCTTTACATTGTATATATGGATATATTCCACAACTAAAAATCAACTGCTACATGAACTGTTATAACAGAATAACAGAATTGTAACTAACTAATGAACCCCAATTAACTATTGGACATCATCCACTAACTTACTTGTAATATGACTTGTAATATCCGTAGACTTGCATCAATTCTCCAAGCAGATAAGATTAGTTTTGACAATATGATTTTTTGGTTTTGTTTTACTCAGTTGTATATTCTAAGTTTTCTATTATTTAAAGGTTCAAGAAAAGATTAAACCACAAATAATTTATCATACACAATTATATTCTATATTTTTGCACCACAAATAATTTATCCTACACAATTATATTCTATATTTTTGCTAGATATTATTTTCATAGCATAAATCAATCGGTATTACAATGGATTATATATTTTTATTAATGTAAAAGAAATTTTCTGACTAGGTATAAGTTTTATAATTGATACTAAAATTTGAGATCTATATTTACAGGTTTTAAGAAGTTTAAAAGTTACGGGTTTGCTTACTTCTTTGCTTACTTTGTGTTTATTTTTTTGTTTTTTATTTCCTAAACATTTTTGCAAAAAAATTATCATAAACATATATTTTTTCTCCTTGAAATTCTAAATCATTATTTTCTTAGTGCTAAATATTTACCATTACTTATAGGCATATTTATGGAATAAGAGCATGTAAATGACAAATTGGGACTGATGTTGATCAAACTAAGGTGCAATTGAAGATTATGAAAGGAGAGATAGTCGAATACTATGCTAATTTGGACTCAAACAAGATGATGTCTTACCATAATTGTATATCATGACTATTCTCAAAATTGTAAAATGCAATTATATGTAACTTGAGAATTATTTTTGAATCTCAAAAATGTAATTGTGGTTACATTATGTAATTTTTTTATTAACAAAGCTTGTGGAAAATTCTTTCATTTATAGTGATAAAATTATTGAGATCTATGTTTTAGCTACATTATAAAAATTCTTGTGATTAATAATGTATATGATAGTATTCTTCAATTTGTAGCAATGATTTTTGTAGTTATGACTAAATCTGTATGTAATTATAAAAAATAGGGAAATACATTTTCACTTTTCATAGAAAAATTTAAAAAATTAGTTACAATTTTTGTATGTCATTGCAAAAGGTTTGAATTCTTAGCTTTGTGAAAGAATATTTATGGAGAATACTTTAATTTTATAGCTATAAATTTTCTAATTTGTAGCTAAATACAAGTATCATTGCCACAAGATTAAAAATATAAAATAGCCACAAATTTTAAATTTTCATAGCAAATAAATCAAGACATTTGCCATAGTAGAATATATTGTGTTTACAATACAAAAATTGCTATAGATTTAATATATTGTGGTAAAAGAGTAAACATATTTTCTATAAGTATATCTTCCGTAGCAAGTATTTTTTACTATTATAGCTACAACAAATTTTTTTAGTAGCTAGAAGTATTAACCCTTAGCCACATACAACGTAAAGTCTGTAGCTAACTTTTAGCCACCCTACATCTTGCTACGAATGCTATGAAAAAATATTTTATGGCTAAAGCGTTTAGCTACGGAGAATTTTAGATTTAGCTACAATGTATTTTGTAGCTTTAAGTGCATTTTCTTGTAGTGTTTGGAGTTCTTTTCTTATGATTTTGCGACACTAAAAGTAGAGACTGAGACTAGATATACTTTGAATGTGTTATTCTAGGTGTTTTGATGTTGGGAGAAGAAACTCTGATCAAATGTGGATTCAAAGAGGAAAAGAGCAAAAACTTGGGAGAAAAGAATCCCCGATATCGCACCTACAAAGCACTGGTTGCTTAAGTGAACTAGTCAACAACTCGATTAAGCGAGGATGCGGTATTTGCTTTTGCGAACTAGGCCAAAAGGGTGGAGGTCGTTTAAGAGAATTGAAGTTCACTTTCGTGATGTTCGCTTTTGTGAACCTCCTACCACTTTTGTAAAGCCCGCCTTTCCAGACAGGGACAAAATGGGAAATTATCAAGCTTTGGACCCAATATTCAGAAAATAGGATTAGACTTGGGCATTACTCAAGATCCAAGAATTGTTAGACAAAGAACTTTGTAGAAATATAAATACATTCAACAAGTAGATCTCTTAGTGACCTTGATTTAGGGGTTAAGATATTGAAGGTGTGTTACCTCACATTTCAGTTGTGGATTAGAAGCTTGTGCTTTAATTTAGTAATATCTTTTACTCTTTCTTCATTTTTTTTTTAATTGCTAGAATCGTGGGTGTAATGGTTTTATGAAATTGGAGTGTTTGTGCAAGAAATAGAAAAATCTATTTGGGTGTTTGATTAATTGCTATATTGCTTTTGTAATTCTTTTTTTTCATGTTGATTTAATTAAATAGGTTCA